AGGATTTGTAAAGAAAAATGTGGGAGGATTTCGATATAAGCCAAGAGGAGACTGGTTTTCCTTTGCTAAAATAAGGAAACTTTGCTTCCTTAAACTAACTCGCGAGAGTAGCATATCTCATGCTTACGTCCTACGTCATCCGCCGGAACGCTTCCGCATGCAACAGTCAGCAGAAGTGAGAGAAAAGTGTTTATTATGTTTGAAATATGGATATTTTTCTTACAAAAATGCATGGATTCGCAACAGGAGACCTTTATTCATGCCCCGGAGCCGTGTGAGTCACGATTTATTATGGATGCGCGCACTTTATTTAACGTGTTTTGGACTGTTGAACAGAAACACCCGTCCACTGCAATGTTAGAGCTTAGAAGAGCCAGGACAATTTTTAATATAACAATGATTGTATTCGTCTGAAAGAAGAAAGTCATATACACCTAGGATGCCTCAAGGGTGAGTAAAACACAGGCTAATTTTCATTTTTGGGTGAACTAACCCTTGAAGTTAAAAGTAAAAAATGTTGGTAGGTCACAGTAGCATTTAATTTAAACCAAGTTTAGTCTTAAAGCAAAAAAGCATGGTAAATATTTAACTGACAGACTTTTCTTTGTGCGATTTAACCAGACAACTCTTGAGATGTTTCTTCACTTTTCTTCTTTTTCTTCTTTGCTTTTCAGAGAGAATATGCCAAGCCATTTTAAGTTTAAAGAGTATTGCCCTCTTGTTTTCCGTAATTTGAGAGAGAGGTTCAGCATCGATGACCAGGACTTCCAGGTAGGCTTTGTGAAAGAGAGAGAAATGATCCAAGGTGTCACATTCAGTGTGTCTTAAAACCACAGCATATTACTGCAGTTGAACCACACAAAACACCAGTGTACTCACTACTAAACAATGCAAAATAGATTCAAGTCTCTGTGAGAAAAGCCCATGATTACCAAGAGGTAATTTAGTCATTAACCACTCAATTTGCTGTCGTAATGAAGACCATTATTCCCCATAATAACACAGTAATGTCGGAGCTGTCCTTGCATCCTTCAGCCTCCCACGAACGTTCTTAATTGCCCTCATATTCCTTTCCTTATATCCCTTTCATGGAAGAAAATACCTTTTTTAGCAAGAATAGTCGCAATCAGTGTGCAGTAGATGTAAAGGCTTTTCTCAACATTTCTTATTTTGGTTAATGAGGAAGATACGCCTTCGCTCCTCACTGTAATCAGAAAGAGCTCAGGGTCTTGGTTAGAGCTCCCTGTCTGCTTATGTGGGTTTAAAAGGCATTACGTTGACTGTAAACCTTACACATGCGCAAAAACATCAGCTTCCCAGAATGTGCTGCTTATTTTATGGTCTTGATTAGAGACGTTCAGTATGAGCTGTTTACTGCAGGTTTACCCTTGTATAGGCTTCCTATGTTATACATCAGAGAAGAATGAAACCTTCATTGCACTAAGACAAGCTGGCAGAAAGGGTTTTGCAAATTTAGAAGTGTGCTTAACAACTTTGTATTTTCAAAATAGACTAGTCAGTGTTAAGGAAGCCCTATGTCAGGGGGCTGGTGCTCACTTGTAGGCCTCAGAAAACTTCCAAGGGAGCCTCAAGATGAGTTAAAACAAACATTGAAGTGCAACAGTTGGGTTCCAGAAGTAAAAACTTAATTCATTTTCTCCATAGGCATATTGATTTTTTTTATAAAACTTTAAAGATGTACTTGTTGTGAGCTCCGAGATTATGAATCAGTTATATGCTTTTGTTGAAACCATCTGTTCACATCATTTCAACTTATTTTCAAGTTTGACTATTGAAGACTAGTCATTTTTAATTTGATTCTGTCATTCAAATTATTCATGCGATTGTAGTTCTTTCCCTCACTAAAGACGTTAAAGGGTTAGTTCACCAAAAAATGAAAATTCTGTCATTAATTACTTCTGTCGTTCCAAACCCGTTTGTTCATCTTCGGAGCACAAATTAAGATATTTTTGATTAAATCCCGAGACCTCTCTGACACTCCATAAACAGCAAGGGAACTTCCACGGTCAAGGCACAAAAGCGTAGCAAGGACATCGGTAAAATAGTCCATGTGGCATCAGGGGTTCAACTGTAAGTTTACGAAGCTAAAGACTTTATTCAACAATTCTTCTCCTCCTCATCCCGTCTGCAGTGACGTGCCGCCATTACGGAGACAGTATCACGACGCATGCACGCGCTTCCAGTTCATGTAAACAACGCATGTGCGTGTTACGTAAGCAGCGCCATGCGCATGTGTTTACATGATGCGGAAGCACACGCATGCGTCGTGATACTGTCTCCGTAATGGCACGTCACTGCAGACGGGATGAGGAGGAGAAGAATTGTTGAATAAACTCCTTATTTTTGTTTTCTTTGTGCACAAAGTATTCTCGTAGCTGTCTGATTTTTAGCTGTCTTAGAAGTCTGATTTTCAAATACTTTTCTGCTCTATAAAAAAGTTTGGAATGCTGTGATTCACCTCGTAGCTGGTTTGCTTAGTTCATGGCTCATAATGCTTTAACAAAGACCTTTTTTAAATCCCTATGGGGAAAATGAATGGAAAAAAACGCTTCCGGAACCAATGCAGGAATTTCCCCCCTTAATAATTGTTGCTTGGAGAATGTGGATATACAGTGCCGCCCATTAATATTGGCACCCTTGGTAAATATGAGCGAAGGTGGCTGTGAAACTAAATCTGCATTGTTTATCCTTTTGATCTTTCATTTAAAAAATTTACAAGATTCTAACCTTTCATTGAAGTAAAACAATGGAAAGTGGGGGAAACTCACATTATGAAATAAATGTTTTTCTCTACTTCACATTAGCCACAGTTATTGGCACTCAATTATTGCAACAGCCTTTTCCCAAGATAACAGTTCTGAGTTTTCTCCTATAATGCCTGATGAGTTTGGAAAACACCTGACGAGATCAGAGACAGTTCCTTCATCCAGAATCTCTCCAGATCCTTCAGAATACCAGCTCCATGTTGGTGCTTCTCTTCAGTTCCCCTCACTCATTTTCTACAGAGTTCAGGTCAGGGAACTGAGACAGCCATGGCAGAAGCTTAATTTTGTGCTCAGTGACACATTTTTGTGTTGATTTTGATGTTTGTTTTGGATCCTTGTCTTTATGGAAGATCCAAACATGGTCCATTATAAGATTTCTTACGGAGGCAGTCAGGTTTAGATTTTTTATCTGTTGGTATTTGATAGAATCCATGATGCCATGCATCTGAACAAGATGTCCAGGACCTCCGGCAGAAAAATAGGCCCATAACATTGCAGTATATTTAACCGTAGACATGGGGAACTTTTTATCCCTGTTTGCACCAAACCCTTCTGGTGGGTTTGCAAAAAGCTCTTTTTTATGTTTCATCTGACCATAGAAGCCAGTGCCGTTTGAAGTTCCAGTCGTGCCTGACATCTGAATATGCTAGAGTTTGTTTTTGGATGAGCCAGGAGTTTTTTTCTTGAAACCCATTTGAACAACATGTGGTGATGTAGGGGCTGTTTGATATATTTTTTTAGGCTTTCTGACCCCAAGATTCAACTAATCTCTGCAATTCTCCGGCTGTAATCCTTGGAGAGTCTTTGGTAGGGCTGAACAATTTTGGAAAATAATCTAATTGCAATTTTTTTTTTAACCAATATTGCGATTGCGATTTAATATGCAATTATTTTTTAAAGCTCTTTATGTTCTGTATTATTCAACAATGATTAATAGCTTGTCTTTGTTGAATAATACAGAACATAAAGAGCTTTAAAAAATAATTGCATATTAAATCGCAATCGCAATATTGGTTAAAAA